CACGTTTTTAACTGGACACAGTTGTAATGAAGGACTGGAAACTATAGCTTGACAATTTTAATGATGAGAAGCAAATAGTTGACCGTAATTTTTAACAAACCGGTTTATCTATAATTTGGTCGATTGTATTTATACTGTGAAGGTGTTGTAATGGATGTCGTTTGTAGACCATATGGCAGTTCTCTGATTCTACACAAGCCTTCACCACTATAATCAAATCATGGGTGCCTGTAGTCTGGTTGCTCGATCCCAGAGCTGCTAATAATCGTCAGACAGGTACAGTTCTTTGAGGACACATCTTTCAAAAGCCCTAACTTTTTTTTATAACTTATTCTGATTATTATTTTCAGTTTTCTGCATTCGGTTCTGCACAAGCATTCGCACAACGATAATTTGTTTATAATTTGAAAGTGTGTATTTATACTGTGAAGTGGGTGTAGTGGATAATGGCTCGAAATGTGAAATCGGAGGGCTGAGTTCGAATTCAGGTCAAGTTCGTTGAATTTACTTATGCACAAATAGATCTAGAAAAGAGCATGAATACCTCTCTTCGTCTCTCTTTCCGCTACGTATTGCTTAAATAGTAGGGCATACTGGGATACCTAGCCTTAATTGGCCAGCAGTCTAGAAGAATAATAATTCTTAATTCAAAAGCTGAGGTAGGTCGTTTGCAAATCTTGGGGCACACCATTTGCACCAGTTTTCTTTATTCACTCCCGCACAAGTCTTTCACATAGCGTTATCATTTTTTGCTAATCTGATTGTCTATAATTTGGAAGAGTTTATTTAGACTGTGAAGGTGGTATAGTGAAAGTCGGCACGGAGTTCGAATTCCAGTCGAGTTCGTTAAACTCATTTTGATCAGGACCAAAAATGTCGACCGGAGAAATAACAAATTGTCATGTAAAGACCTTAAAGCCGTTCCAACGGTCATACACACAAAGTTTTCATCATCTGCGATGATTCTGGCAGTCGTGAGCTACGAGAGTGATGGCATCTCACCTCACTTCTTTCTTCGGGATTTAAGGGTCGGTGCCGCTGACTAGGAGATGTTCGAGAGGGTTTTGAGGACAAAGAACGTGAGCAAATATCATGCACCTACCACCAAGACAGCGTTGTTTCATAAAGCTAATACGACACAACAATGGATGAGTTAATATCTCCATGATCACTTCACCCCAAACAAACATCTCTTCGCTCTCCTGGCCTGGACGACTATATATGGTGCATCGTTGGGAGGAAAATCGATCATTATTCCCCCCAAAATACAAAATCTCTGAAGTCCATCAGAACTAGCACAATATCCAAAATAGATAAAGATCATCTGATTCGGGCCTGTCAACGCTTCAGACCTCTTATTGGAGCAATCGTCAATGCTAACAGCGGATTCATTAAGTAGATGCTTCAAGAAGAGTCTCAAGATTATCCATGCCAATTGGTTCTCGAATAAAGCTCTCCTTTCTTGACTTAATCTTCTTTTAATAATTTGAAAATACCTTCAAAGAATAGGCTGGCATTTCGTATTACTTGACAACTATGAGAAAAATAGCAGCGTAAAGGGTGGGGGGACACTCTAACTTTTGGTGACTGTGTAGAAGGAAACGTTGAATTCAAAGCTGTGGGGAAGTCAACGGGAAACCACTCCTCTATCTTTGCCAACAAGTCATGGCAATTCACATAGATTAAAGAAAAGGAAGTGGTGAAGAGCCATGATCGTCTACGTGCTGAAAGGACACGACAGAGAAACATATATAGGTAGATATTTCGTTATAACTTGATTCGACGGTAATAACAGTTGCTAGCTTACCATCACAGTACTAAGAATTCGTTTTAGTATCATTACAACCAGATGCGGTCACTTCTCGACTTTGTAAGCACCAGAGATTGTTACCTCAGTTTGTAGTCTAATATTTCAAGCTTTCAAATGCCTAGAGGTTTCTCATCTTTATTTAGTGCCTAAATGTTTCCCATCTCTATATAATTTAAAATTTTCCTACGCCTATCTTTATATCACTTATTACGTATTTACACTATCTTAACTTTGGTACTAACTGCATACTTTATATATAACACGTTTCCTGTTATTACAAGACGTTAATTTATGGCATTTGATAAATTAATTAATACTAATATTAATTCTAACTGTAACTGATTTTCTACCATCCGTCCTGAACCCCATCTTGTCGCAGAAACCGGGGGAGGATGTTGAGAGAAATAGGTCTTGATATGTGCAATTTCTTGCTACTTAAAATCTACTTAAGCAAACGCTGTTCCCGCAGAGGAAACATTATCATCTTTTGGAATAGAGAGTGAGCGAGCGGCTATACTGCATTTTATCAGTGTTAAGTAATTAAGAGTTTCTTGCTTTAACTTAAAAAGAAATAGTGTTAATGCCATGAAGGAATGTTTTTTAACAGCTTGAAGTGGTTGCATATTTATTAATCATGCCAGCAAATTTAGATTATTTTAAAAATGTTCTCTTATATCAGTAAACTTTCTCCATTTCTCATGGCAACGATTTCTGGTATTATCTCGTTGAACTGTTATATGTTAAGATGGGGCAAGCTACAGACAAATTATGCATAATTTCAGATATTTTCCGAATATACTGTGTCTGAGAGTAAAACTCGCAAATCTCGTAGATGATCTCGTAATATGGTTGACAATGATAGGAAATAACGTAAGGGAACTGGTACTATAGTTTTCACTAATCTCGAAGGTGATTTCGTACTATGGCTGTCAATAATTAATTCTAAATCTCGTAGGTGATCACGTAGTAAGTGTTAACTCGCAGATCCCGTAGATGATTTCGTGATATGGTTATCAATGATAGGATCGGAAACATCGTAAGGGGTCTGGTAGTATAGTTTTCAATAACTAACTCACCAATCTCGAACGTGATTTCGACTATGGTTGTCAATAACTAATTCTAAATCTCGTAGGTGATCACGTAGTAAGTGTTAACTCGCAGATCCCGTAGATGATTTCGTGATATGGTTATCAATGATAGGATCGGAAACATCGTAAGGGATCCGGTAGTATAGTTTTCAATAACTAACTCACCAATCTCGAACGTGATTTCGACTATGGTTTTGTCATTATTTATACTATTTACATTCAAACTAATGCTTTCATCTTTGTCGTTATTATCATGTAACCGCCTTCTGTCTGAATTTCTAGGAGTTAACATTATTTACATGTAGACTATTGTCTTTGTGTTTGTTGTTGATGTCACAACGTTTCGAACGTTGTGCCCTCCGGCCTTCATCAGGTGTATGTCAATCTGGGTAATCGTCAAGGAATTTCGAACAGAATCCTTCATTTAATCTACTGGGGCAGATTGTTCTTATTCCACTGCCCATGTCTAGGGTTGCCGTGTCTACTACTTATTTTAGTACTGCTCAGTTGTTGCTTGTCCCGTTTTTCATTAAGTCCCAGTATACACTGCCTAGCCCAGGCATTGTTATCATAATCACTACATTACCAAATTCACGAACCAACGCTTTAATCTATTTGATGCCGTACTTCACGTATAGTAAACAATACGCTGTGTCAGTTTTAAATATTAGGTTGGTGCAAAAATAATGCCGTAATAATGTCGTTTTTGACGTTAAACAATACGTCAAAAACGACATTATTACGTCATTATTTTTGCACCAACCTAATAGTTTTAACCGCGATAGTAAGGTAGTAGGAGTGTGATTGTAACATTGATAGTAGTTGTAGTGTATTAACCAAACGACCCAAGTTGTTGCAATTATCATAAAGCTTTCTCGAATCAACTGTAGTGCTAAATTAGTGATCAATGCAAAAATAAGTATTTAAAAATTGTTTATTATTCAATTTTTAGAGGAAACATTTTATCGAAAATCAGACCAAAGTTCAATAGTCCTTATGTTAAACTTTTGTTAAATTACCCCCAGTTATCTGCCAAGGAACTTCTGCTAACAACCGGTATTATAGAATTACGTATATAAAGAAGCGATCCCGGTATACGGCACTTTTATAAAGTGTCAAAAAAACCATACCACAGATTGATCCAAGTCTTGCAAAGGAAATTGCGCAGACGAAACAATTTCGGAGTCGTCTATGGTTGTGCTACCACGAGTTTAGAAATCATCGTGACCGAGGATCTGAACGTACTAGCCTTGCTCAGGCTGTTGATCATACAATATAATGATCTCTCTACTCCAGATATTGTAACTAATTCCCACTCAGCATAGTTGCAGTATGAACCATAGGTGGGCTCTCTGGGTGTTGAACAAACACAAATGTGCCTGAGCAGCCGTCTGCAATAGGGATTGGCTACTCGCCTTATTAGACGGGTATATGCGGATACAGCCATTATTGTATATAAAGATATGAGCATAATAACATATTCATTTTCTCGATTACCATCAGGTTGTCTAGAATGTGCTATGTTTCATTTCTGGTGGGGTCCTTTTGGCAACTAGTAAACTTAGTATCGAATAAAACTTAGTAGTACTCAGTATATATAAATTATTTCTATCAAGTTTGCTCAGAAATTATTCTAAAAAAAGTTGCTATTTGTACGTAAACGTTTATATATTCATTCACTATTGTTTACTCTATTATCCAATAATCGCAACATAATCGATAACGCCGCTACATATTGACCGTGTTGGGGTTTTGCATCATGTTTTGTTCCAGACAGTTCGACATCTTGTGTCCAGTTAAAGACGTTTCAAATAATCTCAAGATGCAGGTTGAGGAAAATTTCAAAGAAAAGTCAATCGAATTTTAAAAAAAAAATGGTGGGAGACTAGAACGGAATAGATGAAATAAAATAAAAAAAAAAAAACAGTGTGTTACTGGAACGCGTTTACAAAGTAGAGGTAAGACTAATATTTATATATCTACTTATATATTTATGTATATATTTAGATATATCTTTTTAACCGGCTTTGATTATTTCGCGACACAAAGGAAAGGAGAACGTATGTATATATACAACACATCTAATGAGCTAAATATTATACCTTCATCACCCTTTAGTTTTTTAAGCTTTGTCCTTTCTCCAAGGCCCTTGTCATCGCCTTTATCACGTTTAACTGAAATATGAGCAAAATTTTTTAACATATATAAACACGCAGTGGGTAGCAGCGTCATAACGTTTTTTCAGGAGGAACAATGGTGGGTGGACGAATACACACGGTAGATCTATGTCCTTTACTGGACATACAGTCTTACTTTTTTTTTTTTTTTTTTAGAATCTTTTTTTTCTGGTGATATATCCAGATGTTAAATCTGTTATCTTTTTTTTTACAATTTCAAAAAAAAAAAAAACCTTCCGCCGCCTTCATATTTTTTATCTTTTTTTTTTTTTTAAAAATCTTTTCGGATCCTTTGAAACGTCAGACATTTCATTCATTTTTATTTTTCGAGTAAGGTAAGTAAAAGAAATAAAGTAAAAAAAAAAAAAATGAAACGCGCAACAAAAATGCAACAAAACTAATTAATATCATTGATAGAAAACACAGAGCAAAATTAAAAGCATTTTTTAAGTCGCTTGTTCTAGCAAGAACAGATAGATGATACGAGGGAACGCTAATCCGTTATAGGAGCCCGGATAAAATATACACACGCAGAAGGCCATAAGTTTTGAAAGCGTTCAAAACTACGTTTAGCTTGATTGGGGATAATGAGAGAAAAATATGAAAACAATGAAACTCATTAACGTCGAATGTACAAAAATTAAGTCTTGGGACTTTGTTTTCATTTTTCTCCGCATTTTCCATAACTGTTTGATTCAGCTTTCCAAAATTTTAGCCTGTGGTATTAAAATGTCAGTATATTTAGTTTGTTTTTTTTTTAAATTCAATGCACTTTGATATATTAAAAAAAAAAATTTTAATTTTTAATATCTTGCGAAGTGTTTAAACATGTATTAATGTGAATAAATGTTTCTGTGAATAATAACGCCTTCATATTTCTTGGCACGAAGTGCGTTACTAAGGATTAAAAAAAAAATTGTCATTCGATTACCTATTTTTAGCGTTATAAATAGATTTGTATGCTATATATTTCATTCTGAGGGTATTTAAAATATCACTGGATATTTGCGTTTCACATAGACATTGTTCAATTTCTGTCTGTATTTCTGGGATAAGGAATTATCATTATTTATAGTCAGACTAATGTTTTCATTAAAGATAATGACATTAGTCTTACTATAAATAAATGGCAATGTTTAACTGTTGTACACGCCAAAAACCGTGTGTACAAAGATACCGTTATTACTGTATACACTTTTGACTCCCGCGGCAATGTTTATTGTTTTTAAAAAGGGATGATTAGAATTTTAATAAAACCCAAACCGATGAAAACAAATTTATTCATTTTCTTTACTCTTGAGAATTGACAACAAAGATGTTAAACGGTATTTATTTATTTATTAGATTGAATAAAATCTTGTTTTCATAGTTATTTATAAAATGGTAAATAATAAATTGTAGTTGGTCCCCATATTTTGATAATTAAAATTATCAAAATATGTGAACCAACTACAATTTATTATTTACCATTTTATAAATAAAATAAAATAAATATAAATTTTGTAATTTTTATAATTTTTTGAATAAAAGATTTATTTTCAAATGTATTTCTTTATAAAATGGTAAGCGATTAATCTTTATAAAAGGTAAATAATACATATTGCATTGTACTTGGTTCCCGTGTTTTTATAATCTTGTAAATAGACACTGACGAGGAAGACAAAAATGTATATAATAGCGTTACTTTTAACATATCTCTTTTTTGTTGCTAGTACGAAGTTTAAACAATCACAAGCAATGTCCATGTTATAACGGCTTTTGTTTAAATATTTTTGTCTTATTTTAATTTTTGCTTATTTTATTTTTGCTTATTTTATTTTTTGCCTATTTTATTTTTGCTTATTTTACTTTTGCTTATTTTATTTTTTGTATTTTATTATTTTTTGCATATCTTAGTTTTTGCGTATTTTAATTTTTGATTATTTTATATTTTGCTTATTTTAATTTTTGCTTATTTTATTTTTTGTTTATTTTATTTTATTTTATTTTTTATTTTTTGCTTATTTTAGTTTTTGATTATTTTAAACTTATGCTGTAAGAAAGAGGCACTTCACTCCTGCACGACACTCAGTCCGTTTTTTTATTTAAGCATTTAAAATCGATTTTTTAAATAGATTAATCTAATTTCTATTTAATACGTTGATAATAGTTATTAAAAATAAGGTTAATAATTTAATCCATTAAGATTTTAATCTATTCTCTGATATAAAAACAACGTGACTATATGTATATATATATATATATATATGTGTGTGTGTGTGTGTGTGTGTGTGTGTGTGTGTGTGTGTGTGTGTGTGTGTGTGTGTGTGTGTGTGTGTGTGTGTGTGTTCCATTTTAATTAAATTTCTTATAGTTTTTGAAGTAGATGTATCAAATTTTATATTTAGTTTAGAAAAAATTATGGTTGTAGTTCTTAGTGAGTTGGTGTGTATTGTTACATGCCTGGGTTTATCAAAATTATTTATTGTTTTCTTTTTTATTTTGTGAATTCTGTAAGCGTTTTTAGCAGTAAATATGAAGTAATTTGAATATTGGTTGAGTTTAGAAGTATTTTCAGCATAGTTCTCTTAATAAAAGATTAAGATAACAGCAAAGAATGCCGATATTACTATACTGTAAAGTGATATACGCCTATCAGTATGTAGACATGGTGCCGGATTCTTTCCATACCTATTTTCGAAACTTCTGCTAATGCGCTTTATCTGTACTTTGGTTGCAGAATTTATAAATGTTCCTGTTTTTTAGTGAATACCAATGTGTATGCATTGAATATCGGTTAGTCCATCTTAAAAAAAATAATATTTAGACCAAACTGGATAATAGGTCACAAAGATTTCTCTTTGAAATCTATCTAAAGTTTTTTTTTTTATTTGATTTCATATTTTTTCCTTTCTTTTACTTTAGTTCACCCAAAACAAGACCCAAGGGTCACTCAAAGTAGAGGGTTACTGAGTGAAGTCGTTGTAAAGGAAGAGGAATTAAGAATATTATGCGGACCTGTCGGATAGATATCAGCTAACTCTCGACTTGAACAGATCAAGATTATAATGGCTAGAAAAACATTGTCTCGCGAATCTGTTGCACAAAGTAACAGTTCCGGAGAAGAAGCTATCTAAATGGAAGTTACCCTTTACCAAAATAACACGGAGAAATAGGAACGGTTTACCACCGTGAACATGCCAAAGCAGCTCCTAGCTGTGAAGGTCTGAACTGGCGGAACTAAGGAATGTAACTAGTTTGAACACTTGTTATCGTAATAGCGATAGAGAGAGGCTAGCGACGTTTCGTCTGGTGTACAAGGGTTGCAGAGTGGGGAATAATTCATCTGCCACAAGGCTTCGTGATCGCTTTTCAACTATGGACAGTGAGAACTGAGCAGTACCAACCCAGACAAGTTAGCAATATCTTCATTCTTGGTCTGATCTAAATCTTTTAAAGATAGAGCATAACAACAGAAAGAAATCACTAAAAAAACGACTTTTATATCCCTTTCATTAAAAAAAAACTGTTTCAAAATTTTTTTTTGATCACTCTATAAATATCGATGTTTACCAGTTTTTATTTTGTTGCGTCGATTGAAAATTCATCGAACGTTACTGTTACAGTTTTTTTTTTGTGTATATCTATGTAACTAGTGAGTTAGCTCAAATGACTTAACTCACTTTATAGTCCACCAATAGAAGGTTAACCAATCAGAAGACGTAGAATATTCAATCCGCCGTGTATAAAGGCGGCCATTTTGTTCACTCTACCCGAATGTCCAGTCCAGCTTGTCAGGCGAAGAGAAACAGAAGGACGAACTATGCTCTGCTACCTTTTACCAAAATATCCACTGCTAACCTGAACAACGCTTTCCTACTGTCTTCGAAATATTCACTCTGGATTCTATACTCAAAGACGACCGTCATTATGAATAACAGTTACAACAAAATAAAACCGGTAATCTGAAGAATGATGTGTGCTATGATGTCATGGAAAGACGAGTTCGAATCCCATTCGGGTTCGTTACATTCACTTACACACGAATACCCTTGGGAAAAGGAATAAATTCATCTCTTCTCCTGGCTATGGGCTGAATATCAGAACAGACTCGGCAACCGCAGAAAAAAACGGAAACCTACGGCGGGAAAATCTACCTAGTCAGTCGTGAACAGAATGAGACGTGATCGGCCAGACGTGTATCATGTACGACACTTAACTGGAAGAGTCAACAGCGATTTAGAAGAGGAAGTTGTGGAGAGACATGGTTGCCCCAAGCGTGTTATCACTTATGGCACTTAAGTGACTAAATCTGAAAAAAATATCCGATACAACTTGATGATTTCAATGTTTAGAATTTGTTTTTAGTTTGGCGGCGGTTATTGAGATCCGCGGATAGTGTAACGGTTATCAGCGCGAAAAGTGGAATCGACGATCTGAGTTCAAACTCTAGTAGATCTTGTTTTCGTCCACTTCGCTCTAGTGCCCTTGAAAAAAAGGCTAGAATCCAGGTATGAATTAAATAGCATACACTGCTATTTAACCTATAGCTGTTTTCTTGTGGCTGAGCTCTCTAGTTTGAAGTGGGATGGGCTATGTCAGGCTATCTTTCCATCGACACGCACATTATCATCAGCCTTCGACCTCACTATGGTGGGTCAAAACTCCATTGACAATCGTTTTCCATACTGCTAGATCCTGCATTGCTGTCCCCAGATCTCCATGAGTCCCGAGAGTCTGGGAAAATCAATTTTCGTGAGAAGACACTTACAGAAGGATGCTATAAGGAGTAAGGATGAGACGATTTCTCTGTTCGCTTGGTGGCAGTGGCTGGTATAAACTGTAATCGTTTTTGTTTGTGCTTAAGAGAGATTAGTGTCAATTCCCCGTAAACTGTGTTAAGCGTTGCTAGGGGACATCCAACTGATGTTCTGGATTTTTCTAAGTGGATTTGTATATATTAGATCTAGTCGTCTTTCAAGACGAGCAGATAATTTTCAAGTTTCTGATTCATGACA